AACCACGCGAGCGCAATTGACTGGAAACATAAAATTTGTCGGTTGCATTCAGATTGCCGACAAAAATCAGGTTCCCAAAGTATTTTTCGGAAACTTTCAACGTCGATCGGCCCAAGCGTCTGCTACGCCCCGAACCCAATTTCACCCAAAGGCGCTGTTGCCAAATGTCGCCTTTCAGCCAAAACCTTCCGGAAAAATCTGGAAAGTTGGCCAACCACTTGTTCCAATTGCTGCAAAGCCGCCCGAAAAAACCTTTTTTCAATTGAAAATCGGCCCTTGCAGGTCGAACAAGGTAAACCCCGTGGTGAGGGGGGCGCAAGCAAGGAGATCCCGACGCAAAACCATCATCAAAAATCAGTTTATTACCATTATTAACAATCAACGAACGCATACGCACACAATGTTACAGAAAAATGACAGCGCAAATGAACTCAAAACACCTGGATGCGATGATTCTCCCGGTCGCAGACCAAAATGTGCCCGTCGGGGGTCATGGCCACGCCCTCCAGCCCCTTGAACTCGCCCTTCTGCGCGCCCCAGCAGCCCAGCGAGCGCAGGAACGTCCCATCCGGATGGAAGATCTGGATGCGGTTGTTTCCCGAATCGGCCACACAGATGTAGCCCTGGTCGTCCACGGCCACGCCCCTCGGGAACTTGAACTCCCCCTCCTCCGAGCCCTCGCTGCCGAAGCTGCTCAGCACCTTTCCGTTCACGTCGAACACCTGCAGGCGGTGGTTGTTCGAGTCGGAGACGATCACGCGGTTCGTGTTGGAGACGGCGATGTAGTGGGGGTGTTCCAGCTGCCCCTCCCGGCTCCCCATCGTGCCGAACTTGCCCACAAAGGTGCCATCCGACTGGAAAACCTGCCACAGAGCGCTGCGTCACCCCGCCCTATACTAGGGGCCCCGCCTCCTACCTGGATTCTGTGGTTCTCCTTGTCGCACACGTAGATGAACCCGAGGGCGTCGGTGGCGATCCCCCACGGGTAGTTGAAGCGCCCATCCGACGTTCCCTGGCTGCCGAAGGAGCGCAGGAAGCGCCCCGACGGGTCAAACACCTAGACAGAGACAGCGGCTAGACACGCCCCCTGGCTGCGCCACGCAGGCCCCGCCCACCTGAATTCTGTGGTTGTAGCGGTCGGCGATGATGTACTGGCCGATGCGGTTGACGGCCACGCCCGCCAGGCAGTCGAACTCGCCCTCGCCGCTCCCGTATTGGCCGAACTCCTTGAGGAAACGCCCCCTGGAGTCGAACACCTGCACGGGATTGGGCGCCGATTAGAGCCTGGAAGGGGGCGGAGCTTGGGGGGGCGGGGTCGTTACCTGGACGCGGTGATTGGACGAGTCGGCCACCACTATGGAGTTGTCAGGGCCGACGGCCACGCCCCTCGGCCAGGTGAAACTTCCGGCTTCGCTCCCCCTACTACCGATCTGGAACAGTTGCTGGCATTTCTGCAGGTACTGGCTCCTAGGGGAGGTACCTGCTGCTGCTGCCGCGATACCTGCAGGGCACTGGTGATTAGTCAGGCGCGAAGGTGGCGGGCGTGGGTGGGGGCGAAACGTTGCTCGGGGTTGGGATCGGCTGGAGGATTGGTTGGAAGGTGAACAGGGTTGGAGGACTGGGGGAATTGGGGAGATTTGCGGGTTTCTTAGGGGGACCCTGAAGCCACGACCCACACAGTGTTAGTGAGACGCTGGAAGCGAAGGCGGGCGCTAAAACTTGAAAAATTACCTCAAATCTGAAATAATCAAAATTCTTCACTGCTCCAAACTGGCTCAGAAAGAGCCTTTCCGGCTCTAGCCTGGAGTGGTATTAGGATTTCCGTGTTTCGCTTGGTTTCTGAGCAAAAAATTGACGAAGTTGCCCTCACAGCGACCAAAGGTTTTGCTAACAACCCAACTTCAAACTTGCGCCAAAATTCAACCGA